AAACCCCAAAACCCCAAAACCCCAAAACCCCATGAGATATAATCAATTCATCAAATTATAATTATTAAATAGTAGACAGATAGAATTATAAAAAGTTACTTATTAGTAGCGACAAGTTTAAATAATATATAGAGGAAAAAATATGATTTCAATTTTTACTAAAAATAAACTTATTTCCCAATCCAAGATGAAACTGCTACTTCCCTAGAAAAATATTTCTTATTCAATGGTCTAATCGCTTGCTAAACTGCTTATATTTTCGATTCTTCTAAATAATCTACTTGCTTATGGCTAATCCATGAATGGTAATGATCTAGAATTTAATAATAACACATTGACAAATAGAATTAACGGAAATCAAGAAAACTTTAACTATGCATTAGAAAGAAATTTGTAATCCTCATTAACTTCAAATACGTCCTATTGTTTACTTGACTGTCAAACTAGCTATTTAAAGTTTTGTGTTAAATCTGACTCGTCTGGCTATTGTTGCAGCAGTATCGTTAATATACTTTGCCCAAGTTCATCATATTGCAATAAGGATACAACTCTTAGTACATTGAAAAAATGGGTTTGTCCCTAAGGATCACAGTGCTCTTTGCAATCAGCTACCATTATCCCTTCATTATCAGCCAGTTTAGTCGCTGTAACTTAATCGATTGGTGTATCCCAATACAATTTCTGCAAGTACTTAATCGAATTCCCCACTGGCTATGCAATAGACTCTATTTCATATATTCAACTAACAATATCAAGTTTTTCTGGGGGAACAGGATAATACGCTATCACTAACAATTTCAAGGGGGACAATGCAACTTAAAAGACATTTACTGCTGGGACTACTATTAAAGTATATTATCCTTAGAAGCTCTATTTCTATTTTGAAAACTCATAGACTTCATCAATGAAGTTTAGTTTTTCTTATTTCTTTTATGGGAACGCTGTTTAAACAGTAGCAACAACTACTACTCAAACTACAACAACTACCACTACTAAGACAACTACAACCTAAGCTCCTGTTACTACGAAATCCACAACCTCTACTATAACTTAAACTACTACATCAGCCCCTACTAAAGCACCCAATCCTTAATAGATTACAAGTGAGGCAAATAAAAATTCAACTTTGAACAATTAGAAATTGAATTAAGCAGTATCTGAAGATGATGATAAAAAGAAGAAAACTATATTGATGGCAGTACTAATTCCAGTCTGTATTATCTTTCTAATTATTGGATTAGTAGTTTTATGTTGTTACAAATGTGGGAATAAAAGCAATAAAACTGGTTTTAAAAATAGAATTTAGAGTGAAACAATAAATACTTCCACAAAGATTTTAAAAGATAATGATGACTATACAATAATGAATGATTAAACTATGTTGAAATAAGATATAAATTCTCCTTAAAAATATGTAAATACTAATGAAAAAACATAAAAACAGAGTAAAAAGCATTTTACAGAAGGAAAGTAATTGGATAATTTATCAGGATCGTATAAAGATGAAGGCCTTTAAAATAATACTTATGATCCAACTAAAGATATAGATCCTATAATGTTACTAGAAAACCCTTCAGCTCCAAAACCGATGAATAAAATGAAGAATGAATTCGAAGATGCAATGCTCAAGAAATTAATGGCCAGAGCTGCATAAATAAAAAGAGATGAGAAATTAGCTGAAGAAAACAAGTATGATTCTTTACCAAATGAATTAAACCCAGAATATCTTTCAAAAATACACCAAAGAGGAGATAACATGATAGATTTTGAAAAACTGGCTCCTCAATAGTAGCCTCAGGCTATCAACTTTATTTTGCAAACACCTTATCTTCCTTAGCCAATGAATAAAATCACAAAAAATAATGAATCTGATAAAAATAGTATTAACTCTCTTCTTGGAGGTACATAAATAGATTTTGAATTCGATCAATAATCACCATAGGAAATTTAGTATTAACTATTAACTTCTGTTAGAACTTCACAGAATACTTAAAATTAGCCAATTAATCAGTTATACTAAACATAAACACCTTCTACTTTGGCCACTTAAAGAATTAAGCCATCTCAAGGCTTTAATTTATTAGTATAAAATCTTAAAACTCCATCAAGAACTTCTCAAGTAGAAAATTTGCATATTTAAGATACTAATGATTACGGAGGACAAAATCTTTAGCTAGTAGCATTAATTCAAGAATTTCAGCCTTAAAACTATCATTAAACAACCAACTTATTGCCAACTCAAAAGGATTAAAATGCTGACTTTAGCTTTGAATCAGCTGATAAGCACGATTAAAGTTTGGACGATTCAATATTAGATTTTAAGGAAGCAGAAGTAATTGTTAAAGATAAGTCCAAAGTCAAGAATGATTCCAATACATATTAATAAAGAGAGGAGGCTAAAGGTAAAATGAAAACTCGGCTGACTTAGTTGCAAAATGAATAGGATGATACGCAATTATCAATTGGAGCGAATATTACTAATAAGACAACATAAGATTACAGATATAATAACAAATAAAACCTTCTTGGCTAAAATGAGGAATAAAAATAGTCTTCAAGTGCTTTTGATTTGCAGCAAACTGATTTCAACGGATCTTAAATTATTTAGCACAATAGGAATAATACATAGTTTTCAAGCAATAATAAATCTAAGAATTCTAAGATAGTTTATGTTAATGAAGAAGGACTGATGAATATGGATCAAGAGTATAAAATGAGATAAACTCAGAACTCTTTAAAGTTTTCTACCCAATCGAAGTTTAATTTAGAAGATTAGTAGCCTCATCAAGAAAAAAAGCGAGGGTTAAAGAATATAATGAATGATGAACTTTCAGATGGTATTTCACTATCTAATCATTCAATTGAAGTTGAAAACGTTAACAAAGAAATTTCCCTCGAGTAAGCTTAAAAGCTTTGAGAATGATTATGTAATTTAAAACTTTGATTACATAGCAACTGATGATTTTTACATAAATTTATCAAACAAAGAAGATTAGGAGGCAGGAATTATTAAAAATAACATCAGAGATATTTAATTAAAGTGATTTGATTAATTTGTTTAAGAGAAAATTTTGGATTTTTAAGAATCAGGGGTTTTGGGGTTTTGGGGTTTTGGGG